AGCTACATACGTTAATGAACATTCTTTTAACAATTTCAAGATGAGAGTTGGTACGTAGACACTTAGTCATTTTATCTGTTGTCTTATACCTTGACTGTAATATCCACCTTTCTTGTATCACATCCTCACAATGTCAAGCTATTGATAAATTCATCTTCACAATGTCAAGCTATTACAAACTTCATCTTCACAATGTCAAGCTATTACAAACTTCATCTTCACAACTTGGCATTCTGTGCAGAGAGTCCACATAGCTAATAATGTTTATTTGGTATTTTGGTTTGTCAACTCAGCATCCCTTTCAGAGAGTCCACATTTGTTATTGAGGTTGATAAACTCAGCTCGCTTTTCAGAGAGTCCACATAGCTAATAATATTTACTAGGCCTTGGCACACCCTTCAGAGAGTCCACATAGCTATTAATGGTATTTAGGTTTATCAACTCAGCTCGCCTTTCAGAGAGTCCACATAGCTTATAATGTTTATTAAGCCTTGGCACACCCTTCAGAGAGTCCACATAGTTGATATTGTTTATTTGGTATTGTGGTTTGTCAACTTGGCATCACTTTCAGAAAATTCACCCATCTGATATCTATGTTTGTCAATTCAGCATTTCTTTCAGAGAGTCCACATAGCTAGTAATGATTATTAAGCCTTGGCACACCCTTCAGAGAGTTCACATAGGTAATGTTGTATATTTTTATTTCAGGTATAAATGTAGGCCCTGTAGTAGCTGGAGTGATTGGTGCTAGAAAACCTCATTATGATATTTGGGGTAATACAGTTAACGTAGCTAGTAGAATGGATGGTACTGGCATCCCTAATAAAATACAGGTTTGATAGCTTCTTGATATATTGTATAATTTCCAATATAGTACGCAACGCTTTTTAACATTCAAGGGGAGCCACGGTGGCTCAGTGAGTTAGACACTTGCTCGCTAACCTGAAGGTCCAGGGTTCAATCCATAGGTCGAGATAATACCTTCAGATTTTTCAACCCAGTTTCCCCCTGTCAGTGAGTTAGACACTTGCTCGCTAACCAGAAGGTCCAGGGTTCAATCTCAGCATAGTTTAAGATAATACCTTCAGATTTTTAAACCCAGTTTCCCCCTGTCAGTGAGTTAGACACTTGCTCACTAAACTGAAGGTCCAGGGTTCAATCCCAGCATAGGTCAAGATAATACCTTCAGATTTTTCAACCCTGTTTCCCCCTGTCAGTGAGTTAGATGCTTGCTCACTAAACTGAAGGTCCAGGGCTCAATCCCGGCATAGGTTGAG